TATATATATATATATATATGTATGTATGTATGTATGTATGTATGTATGTATAAATTATTATATAGAGCTATTTTCTAGCTGAAAAGCATCTTTCAGTTTTCTTTGCCTACTAAAAAAATCTCGTTTCCACTTATATTTGGTGTAGTTTAATTAAATTCCAAGGCGGCAAAGAGAGAGATGTCTAACTTACACATGATGTGGAATACAGTATAATGTTAGGTTTCAAATGTGGTAACAGGCAAAAACTGACACTGTACTTTTTTAAAATTGCACACCATGCACCTAAATTTGCAGAGTATCCAACTGGAAGAGATGAGCTCTATGTACCTGAGGTGGAAAAGGCATTTGTGCTAGGCTAGTATCCCGTTGCCTAAATGCAGAAGACAAGGGAAATTGTGTATATGTGTCCTCCTCACCTCCACAAGTCCACTGCATGACCAACACTGCAACCAGGTATGTGAGGGTGGATCTTCCCAGAATAGGAGGATGCTTCTTCAGTTCCCTTTTTATTCTTCATTTCGGCAACAGCATTGCAGCCTTACTCTTTTGAGAGGTGACTTTTCCAGGTAAGACCCTCTACCCCCATTTATGACATCAGCCCTAAAAGGTGTTCAGGATAGGACTAAACTACTGTAGATAACAAAGAAAGAGAGAAAAGTAGTTCCTCTATCCTCCTTCTCTTCCTATTGAGGCTCTCGGCACCATCACTTTTCCATGGCATTGGATAAGAGTAACATGAAAAGCAAATCTTAACTGAACGTCTGAATATTACATCTTTGTTGCTGAAGCAACAGCCGTTGTTTGTTGCTTCAGCCTGCAAGTTGAGCTACCATCACCTACTTGATACAGAGCAGTAGACCTCCTGAGCAGTGTAGTACAGAAATATTTGGGACTGAGACTCAGATGCTTCCACTGTTTGCATAATATCAGTGAGTTTGGCCACTTCCTGGTGTCTGGGGGTAAAGTCAAGCCTATGGCATCTGCGTCTTCAGCCAAAGCACTGTGTGGAACTTTTTCACCTTGTGCTTGGCCCAGGAACTCTTTTGCTTTCCCTATCTGGGAAAAAAACAGCTAAAAGCAATCAAGTAGCAGTTGGAAAATGTCGCAGAAAACACAAGAAATTCTATTTTGAATTGCCATGCTGTAACAAAATTCCTGGGAACACTAATTCAATCCTGAGGCACAATACCATTGTATTCTTTAAAGCTGTAACAACTTAATTCGAAGGATGCCTTTTAAAAAGATATTTGTTTCTGAAACTCTCTTCATAATGCTACGGGTTCTGGAAATGAAATAATTAGAATTAACTGAGGCAAGACTGCATAAACAAAATGTACTCTATGTGTGAATTGTCTGGAAATAATGATAACAATTGGTCTTGTTCTTCCAATACAATGGGTGATATTTTCATACTTGTAGCATATTTCAGAACAAGAGCGTTAACATTACACAGCATCTTTTCAGGGGTTTACGGGCTTATTTAGGAACTGAACAAATCCATTTTCAGCAGGTTGAGTTCCATAGGATTCAGAAAGCTCAGACTAATATACCTGAAACATACTAAGAATTTTGAGTAGCGTAAATCATAATGGTTCATTTTTTTTGCTTCCATTTTTTTTAGATTTTGTCTTCACACATACTTAAGTGTCAAAGAGTTTGCAGTCTGAGTGAATACTATTGCATGTTAGATATCAGATAGTCTCAGATAAGGGAATCATTCTAGTCTTGCCCCCCACATCCACCATTTTATTGTCCTTGATGTGGAGGGCAACACATTTGAATAAAAGATTCTTTGCTCTCAATAGATATCTTATATATGAATTTGTTATGTTATGTGCCATCAAGTTAAAACTGACCTAAAGTGACCCTAATGGAGCTTTCAAGGTAAGTATTAGTGAGTGGTTTTACCAGTTCCACACCCCTTGTGATTTTCCATGGCTGATCAGGAATTTGAGCCCAGGTCCATAATTATATCCATTACAGCACACTAGGTATCCATTCCATGTGAATAAAGACCCGTATCTTTAGAATTCTCACAGGCACAGGAAGCAGACTGTCTCCTCCTTCAGACTGATCATTGTCCATATGTAGGAAGGCAAAGTAAGTGACAACAGAGAAAGTGCAGTTGAATACTCACCAGTTTGTAACACCTGGAGTCCCTGACTGTAGCCCACCCAATGCACACTCTCTTGTCCACAGACACACACACACAGTTAATTCACCAGACAACTTTGGGGATCAACAAAACTTGATATTTACATGGTTCAAAGTTAAGCTTTTATTCAGTCTTAAATTAAAAAAATAAATTTCATTATTAAAGATTGGAATGGGTCTAAACTAATGTTTACATATTAGTTTACTTGATTTTAGAATACCACCAGAGAAACAATAAAGGTGTTATCACCCTGAAACAGAAATCTTTGTTAGAAAGTTTGACAGTGGTAGAATTCAGTTTAATTGGAAAAAATCTCATGTCTACAACGAATGTTAGAAGTAAACATCTGGCATCTGTGATAGCCACATCTAATTTCTGTTAAGTCTGTAACTGTATTCAGGGCACTATACGACAGTGCTGATATCATCTGCTTCCTCTGGTTTCTTTTGCCTGCTTGGCAGGGATTTCAAGTACTCAAGGTGCCGGCGTGCATCCTCTTGATTTTGCCGCACATAGTAAACTACATAGGAGATCACCATGGTGAACCAGCCAAACATGGTGACCAGCATGGCATAGTCGGTAGTCCTTTTAGGTATGTTACAGAGGTCAGGATCAGCAGCATTGAGGAACGGCCTCCCAGCATGTTCATCAAACTCTGCAGTCTTACAGATGATACTGTTGGGTGTTTCATGGTTGGATGCCATGCTTCTCAAGACCTGCTGCAGGGTGCAGTCACAGTGCCAAGGATTGTTTGCAATCCGAGCCCTGGCCTTTAGATTGTTAAAAGCATTTTTGTGCACACTTTTAATCCGATTGTCAGACAAGTCCAGCATCTGTAAAGTTTCTGCCACCCCTTTGAAGGAGTGTTCATCAATGAACTCAATAATGTTTTTGGATAAGTTGAGGACTTTTAATTGGTGCAAGTCCTTGAAAATCTCATTGGGGATGGATGTAATCTGATTGGAGTCTAAGTAAAGCAAGACAGTTTCAGGAGGAAGATCTCGGGGTATTTCCTTGAGGTTTGCATTGCTGCAACTGACATTTAAGCCTCCAGAATGGGAACAAAGGCATCCTTTGGGGCACATACTGGCAGAATGAAAGCACAGTATCATGAGGACAAAGCTTTGTAAGAGCAGACACATGGAGAGGGAGCGAGTTAACCACAGGTCTACCAAATGCATGCTGGGATGTCAGCATAATCACACAACCACTTCTCATTTACCCAACAGTGGTGGCAAAGGATGTCAGGCACAAAACCACAACTTCATTCACTTCGTTGATGTTACTGGAGATGTGTTAACACATAGATTTCTTCATGGTCAATTTTCTTTTTTAAAAGAACATCACTGGAAAGTAAAACAGACAAATAAATAAATCAACCACTTTCTAGATCAGAAGAGCCAAATTCCAAAAAAATACAGATGCAGTTTACAGTGCAAACTTATATGTGAACATTCAGAAATAGTTCACCCAAACGTAGTTCAGTTGGGCTTGTTTTTAGATGCATAAAATGGAAATTTCAACAGAAAGAGCTGTAACTTTATTTATATACAAGTGGGATCACATTACTACCAATTCCAGCTTCACATTTCTATCTTTACGAGAACAGACGTCATCGTAGTCTAATATCACAATTCTTAAGGGAGACTTTCTTTTCTTAATACAGGTTTTCTAGAACAATAGTAATAAAACTTAATTACTTTCTTCCTTTTATAGTAGAAGACACATTAACAAGATCTACAGTAGGATTCAAGCAGAAGTAACAAATTAGGCAAGCATTTTTGTGGTTAATGACCATGCAACAAAATAATCTGTATCACTTCAAATCCAAATTAAACTATTTTAGAAGGGAAATAATATACTTAATATCAAGGAAAACAAAGGAAAACAAAATATTGTGGGCTTTTACAGCACAAACACAACTCTTAGCATCTAATTCCTTTCCAATTTTAATTTGCTTTAAAACATTTTTGTCTACTTGGATGGAAAAAAGTAGCACAACATTTTGCTATGTGTTTATGGCAGAAGCTCTGGAAATAATATCTCATAACATTATCAATTTTGTTTTAAGTATCTATAGCAATGATGGTGAACCTTTTTGAGCCCGAGTGCTCAAACGGCAACACAAAGCCAAATAATTTATTTCAAAGTGCCAACACTGCAATTAAACCTGAATACTGAGGTTTTAGTTTAAAAGAACAACTCATGTCATTTACACATTTTGTCTGTCTGGTTCTTTATTGATTCCTCCAACTGACAGCTCTTCCAGAAAAAAGTCAAGTGCAAAATGCTACACTGAATTAAATTCACCCTATTTATAAAGATTATTAAGTACACTGAAAATCCTGAACTTGTTTCCTCCAAAGTAAGCTACCCTTAGAAAAGCAGCTATATATAGCAGTGCAAATTTTTATAAGTGTATACCTACATTTTATACACTACATAAAATGTATAAATACATTTCACTTATTTGAAATGTAGTGTTGGAAATGAGATTTTCAGATATCATGACTTATCAGAAAGATAAGTAAAGCAAATTAAGTGTGAACTCTCACTAAAAGCTAAAATAACCAAGGAAAGGGTAGTGTACTACAGTGACATCTTGAGAAGACAAGCTCACTGGCAAAGGCACCAATGCAGGAAAAAGTGCAATGCAGTAGCAAAACAGGAAGGCTGCACATGAGGTGGACTGACTCAATAAAGAAAGCCACAGTCATTTGTTTGTACAGTAAGACCTTTTGTTTGGTGTTGCAGTCAAAGCAGGACCAGGAGCAGAGAGACTGGGATTCAGATTTGGGGAATAAACTATGATACTTCTGCCTGCTTTGGGGATGAGAAAATCAGAAATGTGATTGCTACACACTTCAGAAATCTAGTTCTAGGTTTGTTGGTTGTCTTTTACTAGGTGTTTGCTGTTAGTGAGACTCTGCTAAATATTCCAGTTCTGCCCAGTTCAATTTAGAGTCTAAATAGAATCTTGAAATACTGTACTTGCTGTTCTCAGCAAAAATTGCAGAGCTAAATTAAATGCAGTGGAGAGGAACTTTGGAAGGTTCCTTTTTTCATGGTTTTATTTATATTTATTTATATTTAATTTATATACCACCCCATTAGTCCCAAAGCACTATTCTGGGCAGCTTACAGACAATTATAAGCCAGGACAAACAAACTATGGACACTAAAATGTAACAGAAACAGCAATGACAAATCAAAGCTATAAAAGCCAAAGACACCAACAAATTTTCACAATAAAGAGGACCAGATGGGAGGTGCTCAGACAGGGTTGGATTGAAAGGCCTCCCTAAAGAGTATTGTCTTTTAAAGCTCAACCCCCATCTCTGTTGTATGCTTTACTTAGAAAAGCTACTTTTGTTTTCACTTCAACAGTTTGTTTTGCAGAGTATCCCATGACTGGTCACATCTATCATGGCAGCGCTTCTTACTGTTCCCAGTTTGGGGACCCTGGGAATCAAAAACAGAGTCTGGGGACTTTGCTGAAGCCTCAGATGATCGGGATCTAACCAGCATCTTAATGAAGATCACCTAAGGAACCTGACAAATGGCATAACTGAATTCAATTAAAGATAGGTGGAGGAATTGTGAATGTTATACTTAAGCAATGAATGGATTAAGTACTCATACTGTTACTTTGTCCTTTAAAAATCCAGAAAGATTAATGAATAATCATTTATAAAGCCTGTCTTCCTATAAGCACCATTGACTACAAGGGACTTACGCTTATATAAACAGGGATAGCATTGCACTTCAGAAGTGTTACATCACAGGATTGCAGAGCTCCATGCCATAACATACGATGAAGCTCTACTAATATATTTCTGATATATTTCTAGAGTACTATAATTTTTCAAACCTTGACCTATTGCTGCCAAATTAAATGTTCCTTCCTTCCTTCCTTCCTTCCTTCCTTCCTTCCTTCCTTCCTTCCTTCGTATGCTACCCATCTAGCCAGGCTATTTTGGGTGGTTCACAACATAATCAAACAAAAAACATAACTACAAATATAATATAAATTCAACATATAAAATGTCATAAAATATAATGGCAAATAATCACATAATAAAATATTAGATTTTTAAATATTTCAAATGGTGCAGAGGGCAGAAAAATCTTTTCATCAAAGGCTGTTTTAAGAAAAATATGTTTAGGCTTCTTTTTTAAATTTCCCTACTTACCAGAAAAAGACATTGTAGGGCCATATTTTGGATTAAAAATAGAACTATGTGGAAAATGTCTTAAAATTACTTCCACCTCCCACTCTGTCAAACAGAAAGCAATTTGTAAGGCTGGCCAGAAAAAAATCAAGTATGTACCATAATACAATCTTACCAAAATCCTTTACTGGGTACTTTTGAATGCAATGCAATCCACCAATTGGGATTAGCTATTGATGCCTTTTTAATTCTGGTTTTATGAGTCAAGTCTCTCTGTGTCTCACTTTTTCTCTCACACACATACACACACCCAAACACTTTGGAAAGATTTTTGATGGTTTTACAAAAGAGTCAGTTTCTCTCACACACAACCTCCTTCCATCTCTCTCTAAATTTTCAGCAATAATTTGCATCAGTTCAGTATGTCCCTGTTTCCTCTCATTACATTTAAACAAGCTGATGAATCCACCCATCCCTCTCTCACACCTTCCTTCCCACCTTAATTGGAGCTTTCCCTCCTGCTTGCAGTCACCTGTGGCGGAAGCAGTAATTCACAAGCCAGATTGACTACCCCGGGTTGTTCTATAGCAGTAAACAATAAAGCAGCCTTATATTCAATCTCTAAAAGAACTGATCTACAAGTGCTGCAACCAAGGAAGGTTGCAGGGATAGGTGGCTTACAATCATGCAGTTTGAGGTTTGGCTGTGGGGGGTGGATGGCTGTGGGGGGTAGTGCTCCGCCCGCATGCCGAGAGAGAGAGAGAGAGAGAGAGAGAGAGGTCTCCGCGTGCCAGCTGTGGCACGGATGCCATAGGTTCGCTATCACTGATCTATAGCAACAAAATAAAACATAAAGGATGGAATGTACTATTGTACAAATAAAATAAAATAGAAAGCTCTCTATGTTATACCACCAAAGAAAATCTAGTATTCCAATAGTTTTTCCTCAGTAAACTTCAAACAGAGGAGCAGACTATGAATACTAATGTACAAAATTCCACAACATAGTTTCTTTTAAAAAAATTAAATTATGAACTACAAGCCAATGTTGTAGTCATGGCAAGTTTATTTATCTTAATATTTTCTTTCATTTAGAAGTGAAGAGCTTGCACATCTTCCAAGTTATATTTATACATAAATGAATCTGAACATAAAAAAAGGTTAATGCCAATTAAATTCTCATAATGTGACACTGCACAGAAAAAGAATGAAATTTCACTCATCTTCACTTTTAGTTTCTGGATTTGGGAAGAATTTGCACATGTTTTAAACTATGTTATAAAGCCTCTACCTGGGTATCCTAACCCAGCCATAGATACTCCTGGCATCTCACAACAGTTCAGTCTTAGTTTCTGATCTATAAAATGGGAGAAATAGGGATCCACCTTAAAGGGCAGCCATACATCTAAAATGGACACAACACCATGCATGCTGAGAGTGTTGTGATGTTACTGAGCTACCAATTAGTACATTCTTATACATTAGTACTACCTCCAGAAATGAAGTTGTACCTAATACCTTTTTGTACTTTTGATTTTCACATATCAGCTACAATATAAGAAAACAACTGACCCAAGAGCTAATCAATGTGGTCTAAATAACCATCTGAATTAAATGAACTTTTGTTCTGCTCCATATACTGTATCAAAATAAGTATTATTTTAAACACAGGAGCATGATAGAGGAGCATCATAGACATGGTACATCTTAGTTCAGATCAGTGATTAAACTCCCTGACTGGTTACGGGAAATTCATTATAGCTTTTTTGCCAACCTAATAGGGTTTCAACCTGTACTGGATGGGGTTACACTCCCCCTGAAAAGTCGGATCCACAGTCTGGACTGAACCCTGAATTTGGATTCACACGTTTCACTGTTGGCTAGGAGAGCATTTGCACAATTAAAACTTGTGTGCCAGTTGCACCCATTATTTAAGATGTCTGGTTTGGCCACAGTGACACATGCCTTAGTTACATCCCACTTGGACGACTGCAACATGCTCTTTGTGGAGCTGGCCTTTGAAGACTATACAGAGATTTCAGCTGGTTCAAAATTTTGAAGCCAAATTGCTGACTTGTGCTGGTTACAGGGAGTATGTAACTCCCTCATTACAACAGCTTCACTGACTGTTTCCGGGCCCAATTGAAAATGCTAGTTATTACATATAAAATTGTAAACAGCTTGGGTCCAGGCTATTTGAAGAATTGTATCATGAGCCTTCTAGGCTTTTAAGATGTTCTTAGGAAGTCCTTCTCTCAGGTCTACCACCTTCCCAAGTTCACATTGTGGATATGAGAGAAGGCCTTATCCGTGGCTGCTCCCAGGCTTTGGAATACACTGCCCCTCAAAACGCCAGGTTGCCCCCTCCCCCTTTCCTTGCCAAGCAAAGATCTTCCTCTTCAGGCAGGCCTTTAATCACTAATTTACCTCAGGAATGCTGGTTTTTAACTAGCGGTTTTAAATGTTTTTCAATTTTTTATGCTTGACTGTGCATTTAATTGTTTTTAAATATGATGTTTATATAGTGTTTTTAAATGTCTTATTTTACCCACTGTAAGCCACCCTGAGTCATTTATGGGGAGAAAGGTGGCGTATAACTAACTAACTAACTAACTAACTAACTAACTAACTAACTAACTAACTAACTAACCAACCAACCAACCAACCAACCAACCAACCAACCAACCAACCAACCAACCAACCAACCAACCAACCAACCAACTAGTAACCACCCTTATACTAATACTAAGTCAAAATACCCCAACTGACTTAATCACACAGTTGCAGACAGTAAAGCTGGGGAGCCATTTTAGTTGCTTTTATAGAGTGTAGGAATATATTGATAACGGGTGGCGTTTTGGTTTCTTATTACTGATGACTATAGTTCTTTAGTGCTTCTACTCACAAGACAGCAGCGTGAGTCTCCTCACTGGATGTTCCCTTTTTCTCTCGAGGTAGAAAGATATTTTGCTGAATGAATCACATGGTGCCATCTCATATCCTGTGGGCAAGAGGTCTTTGGGACAAAAAGAAAAGAAAAGAATTGTTGATAAGTTTGTACAAAACTGATCCTGCAACACTCTCTGTTGTTCCTTTTAGACTCTGGAATGTAACATAAGAATTAGACAAAACAATTATTTAAAAAATGAGGGGAAATCCAAATAACTATACTTCAGCAAACTGGATGCAGAATTAGGTTTCCCCCTCTTTCTTATAATGTGGACATGTATTTTTTTTGTTCTGTGAGGTATAAAATCACCTGTTTTATATAATTATTAAACCTTCAGAAAAAATGTTCTAAGCTAAATCCTGGTAAAGGTCTTATATACATTGGATAAGTTGGATAAGTCAGAAGTATTTTTGTTTGTCAAGCTCTTTTTAAACTTACATACAAATACAAAGACAGTCATCAGTTCTTCACCTCTGAGACAGGAAATGTAAATAAAATATTGGCACACTGAGTTCAGTGTCTAAAAATCTGTATTCATAAAATGCATTTGCATTATGAGAAACAAGCATGGGTATATTTGCACAATTAGCTGTCATTTATGAGCAACATTTGTCTTTCTTCCTGAAGTTTTTTTTAAACATATATTAGTCGACTACATATACATGTATAAATATGACGTGAAACATGTCCAAAGGAGTTCAACAGATCCTACTGAATGTATTGGTCCACAGCTTAAAATGCCAACAAAATCCAAAAGATAATAAAGTCACTATTCCCATTGTCACTGCACAGAGACAACCAATTATAATTCAGGGAAAAATAGTCCAATCAGAGGAAAGCACCTTACCCCAAGCCAGTCAGACTATGGGCCACCAGTGGAAAACATTACTATTTTATTCTTACACATATATCATATATGGATAGCTCAGTAAGGTAAGTATCTGGCAGTGGAGCCAGAGGTTGGGAATTTGATTCCCTTGTGTATTACCCAGAAAAGACACCCTGCATAACCTTGGGCTGCAGTCTGAGAACTTTCCAAAAGATGGTAATGGTAAAGTGCTTTTGAGTACAGTGGTGCCCTGACCTACAAACAATTTGACTTACAAACAGCTCTGGACGCTAAATATTGCTTTGAGTTACGAACAGAGCTTTGACTTATGAATAAAAAAATCTTTCCTGCCCTTTTTTGACCTATGTTCATCTTAGGTCGAAAGAAGAAAAAAGGAAAAAAATTCTCCCCCTAGTGGTAGAGTACGGATTAACCGGCTTAGCACTAGTTCCTATGGGAACTAATGCTTTGACGTACGAACAGTGCCTTGGCATAAGGACAAACAACAGCTGGAATGGATTAATCGGTTTTCAGTGCATTCCTATGGGAAATGGTGTTTTGACTTATGAACGTTTTGACTTACGGCCACTGTTTCAATATGGATTAAGTTCGTAAGTCAAAGCACCACTGTATTCTATACCTAGAAACTCATGGAAAAGGGTTGTCATAAGTCAGAATTGACTTGTTGGTACACAATAATTATCATTATATACCATACACAGATGGCTATTAGTACTACTGCTCTCCCTGGGGAAAACATTATTCTATAGTAATTTCATGTCTGAAAAATATAATAGTAATAGAATTATTATGTTAGGACAGTCGAAGAGGTAAAATAAAATACTTCATTTTATTATGTAGCATCAAAAAAGGTGACAAGAATTAAGACATTCTACAGAAATTAAGACTATAAACTATGGAGGCAAAATTGACAGATCATGCTCTTAAAGGAAACAACAGTTCTAGATCTGAAATGCTTTTTAGCAAAACTGCACTAAAGAAAATCTTCTAAACACATGGAATGTTACTATGTATTGTAACAGCTGGAACACCAATGACATAGTGCAAGTGTAACGTAAAACTTTTCGAAGCATGAAGAAAAAGCACATGAAAACTGAAATAGCAGCAAGCGCAAAGTAGGATGTGAAAGTTTAAGTCCCTACAATATTCCCTTTGAAATGTAACTTAGAAGTACACAGATAGAAGATTCTGGCCACTCTAAGAGATTTAATATGCGAAACAGTTGTGGAACACAAGAAAGGCAATTCCTGCTTTAGCACACAAATCTCTAATAGAGTTAAGGAACTGAACATCTAGTAACAATCACTAAGATACGATTAAGGTGAGCACCCTCCTAGGAAGGAAATTGCAAAACGAACAACCCCAGAAGGGAAGACATAATTTCAGAAGGGAACAATAAATGAATGGCTATGGTCCCCAATCACCAGTGAGAAAACATCTAATAGGCTCCATCACACATTTACAAGTTGCAGAGAGACTAGTCTAAAACACCAAAATAGAGGTTTCAGGGGAAAGCATGCCCCAAATTCATTTATTTAATTTTTAAGGATACAGTCCATTGTATTCTGGGGATGCTTTTCAGCATTCTGAAAAACTGTAAATATATGTGCGGATTTAAAGCATTATTTCCAAAGCCAAATAAAAACACCATGAGATGCTTTAAGACAGATTTAGTTTTAGTTACCATAAATTGGGATTTCTGGAATTAAGAAGAATGAATAGGACAATTAACAACTTAAACTAATGCACTCAGCCTGTATAGCAAAAATACCCATGTACCATGTTTATGCCTAAAGGATGATGGATTCTGCAGATCAATCTCACTAAGGTCACTGCTAGGGTTGGATGACATTTAACTCCTGGGTTCTTGTGAAATCAAATACACAAGCGTGGCACTGGCCTATAAATGATCAATATAGACATTACCATCCACAGAAAGAGACTGAAATGAAGCTTGATTTTGAATCTGTAAAACAGATCTGATGCTTGTTTGCATAATTAAGAATACCAGTAAGTTTTCACCAACCAAAAATATCAAATGTTTGAGGATTTTAATATGTTGCTTCCCTTTCTGAACATATCCGGTACACACAATTAAACCATACAGGACACCCACGATGTATAAATGTTACTACCAAAATTAATACATATTAAGGAGAATCCTCACCTTTACCTCTGTGTATTTTTCAAGAAATCTTTATGCAATTTAATTTTTTTAAAATTGCATAACCTGAGACTCCTTGCCCACAAGATGATGTTACAGTGGTACCTCAACTTACGACCGTCCCTGCTTACGACCACTTCGAGTTACGACCAGCTCCGGCCGCAAAATTTTGCTTCGACTTGCGGCCGGAGCTTCCACTTACGACCAGGAAAAGGCAGGGAGGGAAAGGTGGGAAATTCAAATAGCTAACCATTGGTGGCGAATAGGCTGCTTCTTTGTAGCTCTTTCGCCCCAACGGTTAGAGAGCAGGGGTCAGGGAAATTTTTTTAACTGTAACTTTTAACTTTAATTTTTACCGGGAAAGGGATGCAGTGGCAGGGACAGGTGTAGGCGTCCCTCAGTGCTCCTCGCCGCCCTCCGCGGGGCCACTGCCACCGCTGCTGCTGGCTCCTGGTCCTCGGCACCGGGGCAAAGGGGGCCCTGATCCCGGAGGAAGGGTCCTCCCATGCTGCTGCCTCCGGGATCAGGGCCCTCTCTGCCCCCGTGCTGAGGACTGGGAGCCACCAACGGCCCCGCGGAGGGTGGCGAGGTGCCCCAAAGAGCAGCCACCAGAGCCGGGCTGCCATTGTGGCCACACCTGCACCTCCGGCCGCTCACCCCGGCCTTGCCCTTTGCCATGGTTGGCCTCGCCGCCTCCTCCTCCTCAGTGGCAGCCCGGGAGTAGACGCCATCGGAGGAGGCTTGGGACTGCCTGGTAAGGTAAGGTGCTGTTTTTTTCTTTTTAAAAAACTCTTCTGTGTGGGTTTTGGATGGGGGGGGGTTATGTTTCTGTGAGGGGTTTTTTTGCAGTCCCAGTGTGGGGCTTGCTCTGTTTATTTTGGGGTTGGTTTTTTTCCCCAGCCCTATGGGACTTGCACTCTTTTATTTTTAGGGGATTTTTTTGTGTGTGGTCGGAACGGATTAATCACATTTCCATGCATTCCTATGGGAATGCATGCTTCAACATACAACCATTTTGACTTATATTCCATCTTTTGGAATGGATTATGGTCGTAAGTCAAGGCACCACTGTATTTCCTTTGCATCTTGTTTACCTTATACTGCACTCACTTTTCCAGACACAAAACAATGCACATGCTGTTTTCCATATGACTGTGTAGAGCTCAAGATAACAATTAAGAGACAGATAATTTTTATCTTGTGCTGGCAAAGCAAATGAACATTCTGTAAGACAATTCTACAAATTGAGGCAGCTTAAACAAAGGAGTGTAACTTTTAAACTGGGCTTCAGATCACCACCAAATTTTGCAGTCTGCTCTTGCTTGTGCCAAATTTGGAGGATCTTTGGCAAAGCGTTTTAGAGTTATGATTTTTTTAAAAGTAGAACTGTTTACCCCCTGTTTAGAAATAAGTGGCCCGATAGGACGCCAGATTTAAAATAGCTCATATAAATCGAAAAAACAAATCTTGTTGGTCAGCTGAAAAGTCTAAGGACTGTTCAATGCATGTAGCTTAAAGTTTCACCCAAATATACTCAATTAAATGTTTTCGTGTAATCTTTCATCTCCTGAAAGAGAGTGTAGGCTCTAAAATGAAATTGACACTATTTCCCCTTCTGATTCTTCCATTATAGTTATAACTGATGCTGTAGTTGGAATCTGTAAATAATTTTTAAAAATCTCAACATCATATCAATTTGTAAACAAAGGAAATTTACAAATGTTGAAAAACAAATTATAAAAGTAACTAGATTTTTGATCACAGGCAGTTTATAAGACCAAAGGGAGTCTCCTGTAAAGCCGGGTAGCAAGTGAGCATTTTGCTCCATCTACCACCTTATCCATACACTCAAATAAAAACAAAACTAACCAACAGGACGCACTAGATACAACCATGATTAGTGGGTTTCATTTTTTGCTTGACTTCAGTTAACATCTGGAATATTTTCTACATCTGAGAGCTTCCTAAAGCAGAAGCATATTAAAATATAATCACTGATGGATCAAAATGTTTTCTCTGTCAGGTAGAGAACAATTTTTTTCAATGTGCTGA